GGTCTCCGTGCAGGAGCCTTCCCGAGGGCGAGGTGACCGCGTGTTTCTGTCAGGGCATGAGCAAGGGCAAGGACGATGCTCCGCACGAGCTCGAGAGCCAGTTCGTGCTGCGGCTGCCGCCGGTAAGAGCTCGGCCCGTCCCCTCGCGGCCCCAGCGGGCGGCACCGAGCTCAGCCCGGCTTCCCGGCCAGCAGCGGCTGCCGGAGGCGATAACAGGGCACTGGGGAAACTGCGGGTCTGGGATGTGGAAGCAGGCTGGGTGCTCTGGGGCCTGGATAGCCTGTTCCCATAATTTTGAACGGATTTTTCCTAGAGAGGTGCTCCTGCCACTCGGAGTAGGAGGCTCAGAGACAACCTAGAGGGTTTGGGAGGACCTTTCTGTAAGCGTACAGCTTTAACGAGTACTGGCTGTTTAGTTGCAGTGGCTGTAAGTGCCCTTGTTGCTGTTTGTTAGGTGCTTAAAGCTCAGACTCTCTTCTTCTGGTGCCCAGAAAACTGGGATGATAGGATGATAAACTAAAGCACAAGTTCCACCTCACCATGAGGAAGAACTTTCCATTGAGAGTGGCAGAGCACTGAAACAGCTGGCCAGGGAGGTTGTGGAATGTCCCTCATCCCAAACCCAGCCAGATGTGTACATGTATCACCTGCTTCGAGTGACCCTGACTTGGCAGGGGGCTTGGGCTGGATGATCTCTTCTTCCAACCCCCATTATTCTGGGATTCTGTGAGACTGTGTCCTGCTGAGACCACAAGGGCTTGGTGAGGGGAGCTCTAACCCCACGGTGCTGTGGGGCTCTGGCAGGTGTCTCTGTCATGGACCTCACACCTCTGTCACAGCTGTGTCATGCCAGGGGTATGGAGCGCACTGGGAATAGCAGAGCCATGGGGTTAACGTGGTGTTGAGAGGAGGGTGCAGCTCACCGTGGGTCTTGCAGTTGCTGTCCAGCATGTGGATGGCAGGTGTTTAAAGCTGGGAGGGTTGGGCAGAAGCCTTTGGTAATTCTTGGAGGAAGCATATCCGCTCCTGAAGAATTCCCTTCTCAGGAATATGCCTCAACTGTGCGGCGAGCAGTCCAGTCCGGGAATGTCAACCTGAAGGACAGGCTCACCATTGAGCTGCATGGTGAGTGAGCAGGACCAG